CTCTTTTTTAGTGTGTTTAAAGTGAAAATAAAAGTGCATAGAAACATTTTTTTGGCGTAGTTCATTTTTGCAACTAAACTATTTGGTTGTTTTTGCCTATAACTGTGTTCCAAATATGACAGCAAACTCATACGCTTATCTGTGGCGAATATTTATTGCTTTATTCATTCCTTTTTCTTTTGTTTTTCTTTTTTTTTTGTTGTTTAATTTATTGTCATTTGGAGGGGAGGAAAGGGGAGACTGAGAGTGGGGGGGGGGAGGGGGTAAAAATAGAAATGAAGAAAGCAATTTTAAAAATTCTTGAAATAGTTTTTAGTGCTATTTGCTGTTGTCGTCGCTGTTTTCTGCCCGTTTTTGCGACTTAATTTTTGCTACTGTTGTTGTTGGAGTTAAAAACAGAAAAGCCTCCGTAATAACGATGATAATAATGTTCAATTGTATTTTGATCTATTAAGCTTTGTTTCTTCCCTCCTCGTTCCTTTTTTATTTTGCTGTCCTTTATATTGGAAATGAATATTTTTCTTTTTTGTGTTTGAACAGAAGAAAAAAAATCGTCATTGTATTTGGCTAAAAAAATTGAAGAATAACGAACGATACAATGGTAATCGGTGGACAAAGTTTTTTTTGTTGTTGTTGCTGTTTTCGTTTTTAATCAGTATGTATAAAATGCACAGTTGCAGTTATCTTCAAAAATTTTCACCAATTTTTTTTTGCCAGTCTTTTTAACCCAAAAATACATTGTTGTTATTGGTTTATTTTTATACTCCAAACCACATATATAAAAGCTTTTTAAGAAAGGCAGAACAAAAATGAAGGAATAATAGAGGGTGCATTTTGGGAGCATTTTTTTCTTTTTTTTTTTTTCGCCAAACCATACGCTTTTTTGTTTCCATTTTGAATATATTAATTTTTACATAGAACTTACCCGTACGGATTATAACAATCTGTGAAAAAAAGAGGCTTTTGATATATAGTGTTTTTTCTTTTTTAAGCTTACTTTAAATAATATTTTCATTTATTTAGTTATTTGTTTCTTTTTTTTTGTTTTCTATTTAAGTAGCTATTTTTTCTGCAGTAAAGTTGAAACATTGTTTAATGTATACGTACTTTTCTCTATTGATATCTTCAACAACGAAAAAAAAAGCATCAAATTTAGATTTATTAGGCAGTCAGAATTGTTGAATTAGAAAAAGAAAAAAAAGAATGATGTTATGATAGAATTATATGTGATGAAAATGGAAGAAGAGAAAGCAAAAGGTTATTGAGGATAAAACAATTGCTAGAGGTTTTTTTTGTCTTTCATTTTGAAGGAATTACTACGCCCTAATGGGGAGGCGATTTTTGTCGGATCAACAACAACAGGAGCAACAAACGGACAGCTTTCCTGATGGTATTCTGCCGACAAGTAGTCGTTATCTTCAGCAACCGGGAGCACCTGGTCCACCAAATTTTGCTGCCCAATCTAATGTTGTGGTATCACCGGTGATCGCAAGTGCAACCGATGAACCTGAAGGTATCGATTGCTCTCCATGTTGTGATAACAATAATTTTAGGTAAGCGACCAATATCTATATCAATATTTTTTGAACTCTATCAGTGGTTAACTGTTTTCAATAATTATGTAAAAATTCTTTATTAATTTTATCAAACACTGTAAACATTGAAGTCTTTCTTCATGTGAACAGAACTCTACTGTAACTGGGATATAGCTGAGAAGAAATAGAAAAAAAGGAAGTGAAAAAGAATGCAATAGACAATAATTATTAATACAGGAGACATAATTTGCACACATTTAGTATTATAGAAGTAATTTTGATGATGTTAATGTTGTTTTTTTAAAAACTTTCGATCAAACCCTGATATTAACCCCCACTGTATCTGAGGTGATATGTACAAACAATGGCAAATACTTGTTTCAGGCGGGTGTTTAAAACTGTAGTTTTGGGACAGATATTGTCGTTTTGCCTATGTGGAACTGCTGTGAGCAGTCAACTGTTGAGTGAACGTGGTGTCAATACTCCGACTGGTGAATTATTATTTTTTAAGATTGTAATCTTGAAAAAAAAAGATTCTGTTGTTTAGTAGAAAAAGAAAAGCATAAATTTAAGAAGTAATATAAACTTATTTGCAGCTCAAAGTTTCTTAAACTATTTTTTCCTCTGCTCTGCTTACGGTACAATAATGGTTTGCCGTAAAGGAGAGGATTCTTTGTTTCCTGTCTTAAAAGAAAGAGGATGGAAGTATTTTTTGTTGTCACTTATCGATGTTGAAGCTAATTACATGATTGTTTATGCATATCAGTTTACTAACTTAACAAGTGTTCAGGTAAATTGATGCCATTACAATAACAAATATATTATTAAGCAAAAAAAAAAAAAAAAAAAAAAAAAAAA